AGTGAACTAAGGAATGTGTAAAAATCGTTTTATGTTATTATAAATTGCAATTATTCTTACTTGATTTTAGATTAAAAATCTATATGTACTTAAGCTATGGATTGTGAACAATGTCTTCAGTCCAGTATTTCCAATATGAGAAAGCTGTAAAACTTGTTTTATTGCTAGTCTTTCATTCATAACATAAAATATATTATCTTAGATTGATATCAACAACAAAAAAAGGGTCTTTTCTTAGTTTTTGATCTGTAGATTGTTTCCATAAATATCAAACTGAAATTGTTGAGAGATGACAGTAGTTTATATAGGTAGTGATACCAACATGCTATGACCTGCAATCAGGGCCAAATTAACTTTGGTGGGGGCCCTGGAACTTCTAAGTTTTGTGGAGCCCCTCTATGCATATTCAATTTCTTTATTTACTAAATACCACCTGCTAGTACAATTTGAAATTAGAACTTTTTATGTGATATCAAAAATGATCTTTTGATGTGCACATAATGATTAAATTGTTACAGTTTATAGAGTACATTTTTATACAAGGCAACTTACAGGGTTTCTAAGCATGAAAATGTAATGCTCCACATGTGTAACAAGTCGTGCAGCCCTGCACTCCACCCCCATACTGAAAACACATAATAACACAGCAAACAAAGTGCAAATGCAAAGACAGCAGTATCTCAAAAAGCTTCAACCAAATTAATAATGACTGGAATTTGTACTGAAAATGTGTATATATTTGTATATGACACTTCACCTAAACAGATAAACAACACACCACCTAGTAACAAGAATTGAATATGGTCATTTGTATGAACGAACTAAAAGGATACCAAACTTACTGAAATATTATTTCACCTTTTTTTTTCTTTATGGGCTCTCTAACTGCAGGTTTGGCAGATCATTTTTTTATAATTTCAGTTTTTGTTGTATAATCCCTTGCACCAAATAGATTTGTAAGAAAGTTTTTACAAAATAAGAAATGGGCAACTTCATTTCTTACATACAGACCTATACATTTTGAATATTTTAAAATATGATAATTATAAAAGAGAAATACAGCTTTCAAAGGCAGTTGTTATTGATATTTTAAATAAGGTTCTCTTTGACTGCAAGGGTGCATTTTATTATAAGTTGAAGCTTTAACAAAAAATGCTGATAAAATTGCTATGGTCTATCTTGATCCATAATGTCACATGCTACTTTTTCTATATATTATAGCCTATATCAGAACATCATTATTAAAAAACTTACTTGTTTAATGAGATGGTATTACATACGCAGACCCCAGGTTGGGAACCACTGGCCTATATATTGTTTGTGTGGCCCCAGCTCTTAAATACCTTGGGTTAATCCAGCTCTGCTTGCAATATCACATTAGTGTGTGAACAGTAATCAGTTTTCCAAGATTGTAGAGAACTTGTAAAGAACCTTTCCTTATTCTCTGAATTCAAAGTATACTCGTATTAAAGCATACAGCATTTTATCATACTTCAGAATATATTTTTTTTAAGTAAAGGTATATACAGTTTTAACAGTTCAATGCATCTGATTTTCTTTAAGCATCTTAAAGATTTGACCTTTTAGAAGTATAATGGAATAGTTTATTTTATATTTTATACTGTTAAAAGAATAGAATAATTCTGCATTACCTCATATAGTTTGGTAAATGATTACATCATAAAGGAACAATGTTACACTACTTAGTAAACTTTTTGGCTTCCTCCATATGTACCTGATCTTTCAATAACTTTTTTTTTCATTTTCTACAATTAATTACACCTTAGGTTTTATTCCGTCATTGTCCACATATTACCAAGTCCTTAGGATTTTCACACCTTTCTAGCTGTTGTCTAGACTGTTTTTGTAATCTCATTGGTCCATCAAGCCACTAGCTCAAAATGTACATGATTGCTATGGCTGTGGGAAAAGTTGTAATTACGGGCTGGGCAGTTAGTATTCAGTTACCGTCCATTTTTTCATGTTCTAAATAAAAGTTATCTGTGAATACTGGTGTTCATTCCATTTTTATTGCTATGCAAGTACAAGGGACAATGTAGTAATTGTGTTTGTAAAACACCTGAATTGCATCATAAAATGAATGCATACAAAATGTTCATATCACTGTAGAGTTATTTTCAAAACTTGAGATAACAGTGAGAATACCCAACTGATGAATCAGAAATTTTAGTTATTACAAGTTTTATGACACAACATATTCATAGTTAGTCTAGTATATTAAATTAGCTATTTATTTACGAGTTCTAATCTATGTCAGATTGCATGAGATATTTGTGTAAAATACTTGTGGCTATAACTTAACTACATTTTATTTTTTTACAACATTAATTAATGATGATGTTTCTATTTTAAAAGTTAATATATGTTAATGGAACTCTGTTGCTTCTTCAAATAGTTCACAATGAAAACCTTATTTGCTTTCATTTCAGTAGCATTCTGAAATAATGCATTCCCTTTCTCTCCCCTTTTGTCAAATTTTCTTTAAGTACACAAATTAATAAACAGAATACAACTATAGCAAAAAAATTATTCAATGATTTATTAAGAGAACACAAAAATGTATGTCATAAAAATACAGTTTTACATATAAGTATTTACATAATACATGCTCCATAAAATGACAGGCACTTGAAAATGCATATATCACACAGAATTAAAAATTTGCCAAAGTAAACTGCTGAAATATGTGCTCATAATCTAGTGTTGTGACTCTCCATTCAAACAAATGGCATATTATACGGAAAATACCAATGAGCTATTTCTACAGTACTATGTTTATGAAACACAGGTCAAAATATGAAGATCAATAAAAACACCAGTGAAGATGTATAAATCAAAAATACTAAAGATCCTTAATAATAACTTGTAAAAAAAACAACAAAAAAAAAAAAACACTAAAAACCAAGCATGTTTTAAAACTAATACACAAAACTCATGAAATTAAAATTCTTTGCAAGATCTTGAGAGATTGGATTCAAAACTGAGTTAGAATTATTGTAGTAAATACATTTTTTGGTTTGGTAAGACCCTTAAAATATTGCATCAACATCACTAACAGCGGTAAGAATTTTCAAAAACTGTTCCAATCTATTAAGACTATGTACACCTGAAAAATTACAACTCTTAGTGCAAATTAACTAAAATCTGAACATAGCACTTTTTTTTGTCAGCAACCATAGATTTATATTGTATACATAACAATTATAATATTTATGAAAAAAATTAATTAATATTAACTCAGTATATAAAGAAAACATAGAGTTGTGCCTTTTAATTTATAATCCATTCTTTAATATAAGTTACATTAGCAGTATTTGTTAAAATAATATATATATATATATATATAATTTTTCACTTATTATGAGGATCATTTTGAACTGTTAGCCTAGTATTTGGATTTAGGACTATCCTAAGTCTCATAAACTGGCAAAATCTCAAAGATATTATTGGGATTACAACTGAAAATATTGATAACATGAGGGTGCCCCACTGATGAATCAATACATTCTTATCATACACATTTTATGGTATTGCATATTTCCTAGTTAAAACTGGTATATAAAGTAGCTACATTATTTATGGCTTAATTTTGAAACTAATTATGTTACTGACAATTTTTTTTATTTATCTATATAGGTAGCTTGATTTTATCAGAAGTTATTGGTAACCCAGCATTGGATTTTGTATTAGTCTGTTTTCTGTAACTCCCATGATTAAAATAATTTCACATGCAAGACTTTACAATTAAAGCCATGGACACGAGTCTACCAAAGTGATTAAATTAAGAACTTATTCAACAACTCCCATTATCCAATACTTGATGCTTACCCATGTAAACTCTCAAAACTGCAAGGGACCATTTCAAAACATCCCATAATGCCTCAAATGAACAATACCTTTCTCAACCTTGCACTTAGTGACTTTAACAGTAACACTTTTAAATGAGTGTTATAGATACGTCACCAATACCAAAAACTTTTAGAAGTGGCTTGCTTGTGTGAAACAATTTTAAATATTGTGCTGTTAAAAACAAAAAATATTTTTTTGTACAACTGCTTATCAGTTTGACTATAATTTTTGTATAGTACTTGATATTAGGTAGTGTTTTTTATAAGCTACAATGAGATAGGGCAACTTGTTAATTTATTTTGAAATTGTTAGCTTGAATTTGGGGAAATTAATAATACAAAATTCCTACAGTAGAAAGATGTAACACAAAATATGGAAAATTTGCTTACTTTTATTGTAATATACTAAAAAAAAAAAAGTTCAGTGCTCAACATACAATTAACCTCTAATTTTAACAGTAACCACCAACCAATCTAGGTTCACTCCAGAAAACACTGGCAACAAAATATATTTATGTTAAACTAGTCACATCACTTTTACAAACACTGAACATAAGCAATAAGAGAAGATATGAACTTCAGACTACAATCTTATTACTAACCAATACAAAACCAAGGTTTCTGAAATACAAACATTAGATGAACAAAATATGCAAATAGCTGAACCACTACTTGCAAATACGGTTTCAAAACGTGAAAATTATCTCCAACAACTTTTGTTGTATATATTTTCTTGTACACGTTAGGTTTATCAAAGTCTAACTATGAAATATTTCAGTAAAGTAACATGTCTTATCAACAACTTTTATGAGAGAGCAGCAAGTTTTTTGTCACAATTAGAACAGACTCATATCTAGTATAAAGAAGTGTTGATAATACATACCAGTGATACACAAAAGTCAACTATCCGGTTATTGCATCATTTATCGAGTAAATGGTTGGGTTTAAAAGTTGTTAGTAATTTCAAAATTCCATAGCCAACTAAAACAGTTACCGACTGTCCTTACTGTACAACTGAATTATGCAAGGTTTTCAGAACAATTTTGTATAAAAATTATGGTAAACACTGATGAAAATAAAAAGAAAGAAAAGTTTATTATCTTCTTATATTTCATGTCTGTCATCGACCAGCCTCATATCCTGGGAATATCAGATGTAATGCCTCACCAAGAAATTTGTTTGTTTCAAAACTGTAGTTTTTACCTAGTTCTTTGCGACATGCTGGACACGAATAGACTTCTGCATGGAATGATCGTTGTAAGCAAACCTGAAGAAAACAATTTTTTCTTATATGCATAGATTAACCTCTAAATCTGTGTCATTACAAAAAAATGTCTATGATTCACAATCTATAGATATTGTTACGTCTCCGTTTGTTAATTAATTTTCCGTAAATTCGTTCCGACGAAACTTTAGCGACACAAGTCCTTTCT